CGCTTGTTTAACGTCATTAGCTTGACGAAACCTGTGGAAAACTCAGCCAGGATCTAAGAAGAAGTGACGATCGTGCCACGCCTTTGTATTCTCGAGAAGTGGCAGTGCTGGCACTAAGGCCAAAAGGCGGGCATGGTGGGTTCGGGTGGCTATGTTCTGAAGGAAACGGGTTCGGGCCCGAGCAATGCCCAATTCTAGACGTAGAGCTTTTCCTACACGAGCTCTATCGTCAACCTCCGAAAATATAAGCTCATCCGTGGAGCAAGTCGAACTGAATGCTCCCCACTTCGTATCACAGTGTAAAGGCCCCGAAGACGGATACTCCAAGTCGAAAGCGGGAGGAGGGACTTGAGAATCAAGCCCGTGGATCTCCTCCTCTGAAATGTCATCAAGCTCATCATCATCTTCTTCGGCCTCACACATTTGCTTCATCGTGCAGGCTTGAGTTTCAAGCATGAGGTGGGGGTAGTCGACTTTTGCCTCGATTGAGCTGGTATGTGCTGCAAGAATCTCCATTTGTGTGCTCAGTCGAGCACACCTGAGCTCAATCTCCACATCTCGAGTGGACTGGGCAGATATGCGAGCAAGGATGAGGTCGAGGTTCTCATCGAACGACAAAGCAGCCTCCCGAGGCTCGTCTCTATGTGTAGGTTCGCCTTGAGCGGTGGGCTCGGGAGTGACATTGGTAAATCGGTCCTCTAAGGCTTGCACGCGCTCCACTAGGTTCTCGATCCTGGACTCAATATTGCTCTTACGGGCCGCTTGGGATGCCAAAAGAGTGAGGACCTGGTCGAGCTTGGCGTTATATTCTGAGGAATCCTCGAGGGACTCACATGACTGCTCAACAGGCCTGGACTCCTACTGCTGCTCGTAAGGATACGACCAAGTCTGGCCATTGTCCCAAGAATCGTAGAATGGAGGTGGCTGGTTCAATTGGGCACACCGGGTTGCGGTCTCTTCTTCCTGAGCTAACCGGGATGACGCGAATTCATAGATACGGTCGAGCTTTTCATTGAACTCGTGGGACTCATAAGTTTGCTCGACTGTGTAGGGATCCCAGCACTGCTCGGAATGGTATGAATATGGCTGGTAGTGGTACCCGGTGTGATAGCTCGGCTCGTAACCCCAAGGTTGGGTGTGCGGATAAGGAAAAGCACGGTTGAAGTTCATATCTCCTGCACACCAAAATAGAACAACCACGCGTAGCCACGAAGAGAAAACAAAGAAAACAAAAAACAAAATAGACAAAAGGAAAGCAAAGAAGCACAAAAGGAAGAACAAAAACACGAAAAATGGAAAATAAAGAGAAACACAGAAAATAAAATCAATACCAAAACCAAATATCCTAATTGTCTTCCCCGGCAACGGCGCCAAATTTGTTGTGTACAAATTATTCTATTTACCGAGTACCGAATCGAAAGATTCGTTCCCCGGGTCGATCTCACAAGGAAGGTTGTTCGGAATTTAGAAAAGGTATCGATCACACACAAAAGCAAAATAAAACCTAAACACTCTAATCAGATAAAGATTGGATGAATTATAAGCTACGAAATAAATAACAATGCAAAAATGTAAATCTACCTAAGAATATGAATGAAACGAAAATGAAGAAGCTAGGGAATCGGGGATAATTAATTCAAGTTCTAGCAAAGTCGGGCAATCAA